TGGGGGGGCAGACATGCGTGGGCCCTGGCGCAGGGGGCGTGGGCCGGGCAATATACCCGCTGCACCCAGTAAGAATTCCCGGAGCGCGCCCCGTTCGGGGAGCGCCATGGCCACTGTGGCGTCTGGTCCTGGCCAGGGGCCGTGCTAGGGGCCGTCGTACCCCTCAGTTGGGCCTTTGCCTCCGATGCCTCGCGTTCGTTTGGGCGTTCTGACGAGAAGCTGAGGTTTTCCGTTTGCTTTGCAAATATTGCTGAAACGTCCGTTTGTTTGGGAAAAAGACATTGCAGCTTAGTTTTAATCCTGCTCTGGGTCCGCATCCCCCCTTCCTTCCCTTCCCTTCCCCTCCTGCCTGCTGGGACATGCCTGCATGCAGCCTTCTCCCTTTCCTTTCTTTTTTTAATCACCCGCCAGGCAAGCCTGGCAAAACAAGGAAGGCGAATGGCCTGCAGAATCGCCTGCAGGCTGAGAACAGTTTCTGTGAAGGGCAAATAAACCCTTGATGGGAAGAGCAGAACGTGCTGGCGGGGAGAAGCAGCAAACACAGCGGGCGGGCGCAAATGCCCGCGGCAGGGCTAGCTTTTTGCCAGCCCGCCCGGGGCGGGCGGGGGGCACCGCTAACGTTACCTGCGCTATTGCAATTCATGCTATCCGTGGATGCTTTGTTATCATTAAATGTGCTACACTTCAAAAGTAGATAATAAGCAGTCATCAAAATATTAGTTTGTATCCCCATTGGCCTTAACGTGAGTAACAATCTGCAGGGAAATGCCCCGTTCTTGCCGTTGTGTCCCCCAAAATGCTGTGAAACGGGTGCACAGCCAGGCTCGAAGATGCGTGGGGAAAGATAGGATTTACCCTGCTGAAGAAGATTCTTTTGGCACCATTAATTCTTAAGTCTGCGGTGCCGCTTATGCACCTGCTTGATTTTTACTACCCCGAGTAGTAAAAACCCCAAGTTATTTTAATGGTGCTACTTCTTTTAGTACCAGGAGGAAGGTGCACCTGGGCCCCAAAGTCCTGACCGGTGAGTGGACCCTTGCGTCAAAATTGAGCAATCTAGTCCGTTTTGGACTTTGAATTGCCGTTGCAATCGCATCTTGTGCTTCCCTACCGCGTACCTCTTGCCTGGCAGCCCCTTCATAAAGGGACAGTCTGCAGCTAGGAAAACCTGCCTTACCTAAGGCCTTACCGTTTCAGAAGTATCTGTTACTAGAGCGGGGGGGAAAAAAACCTCCGCAAAATGCTTTAGTTTAAATGTAAAACATTTTTCAGCAGTAGATTTAAAACAGGAGGTGCCAGTGGTATTTTCGAAGATGTGATACCGTACACTGAGCTACTTTTTGATATTGCGTGGAGAAGACAGTCTCAGTAATGTTTTGAACAAAAATTTGGAGCAGTAATAGCTGTGTAGTGTTTACAGATTTAGTGTTAACATCGCGTTTTCCTATCTTTTTTTTTGTTTAAACCTTAATCTCATAAAAGCCAAGCATACTGTTTAGCTGTCTATTTTAAAAATATACACTACTAGAATTCATTCTTTATAATTTTTTTCTTAATATAAATTTGATTTTTTTAAAGTTTTTTTTAGCATTTATGAGAGTTAGGACAGAAGAAAGCAATTATATTTCTGCTTTGTAAATGCTACAAAAGTCTTTGAAACACTAGACTTGTTAGTTTATAATTCTGGTATTTCAGCACAACAAAAATTCTTGAAGATTTGAGATTTAAGTGGGCTCATGTTTGTAATCCAATGTTACAGAAAAATAGGCATTTTTCTAAGAGACAGAATGTTACACGATTATAAAGGAAGCAATTGTCTTCCAGAGTTTTAAAATCAGTTTCCCAGAGACTCTGATTCTTGCACGGTAAATTGTTGACTCTGTATGATCATCTCACTTGTTTAATTGAATGATTCTATATATTTAATTCTTCCGCAGCAGTATTGTTTCCAACAGAGAATGTCCTTGATCCATAGGGATTTCCGTAGAGAGAGCCTGAATGCAAAGATTCTGAAGAATTGCGTTTACCTAACAGCAAAAGCTATATGGCTTGTAAAACATGAATGAAAACTAATGCGTGCGTGAGGTCACTTGCTGAAGTTTCACCCGAGTCAGCTGAATGGAGTTTGAAGTTCGTCTCAGCATATTTTAGAAGGTCCTTTTCATTTAAAAACAATGCTAGAACCTGTGGAAGTTTGTGGACGGCGTTTAGCTGGTGTGGAAGTGATGACCGCGGCAGTTCTATTCAAGCGCTTGACTGTGCTTGCCAATACATTGTACCTTTTTTTCATACGCTGCTGCGCAGACCTGAGAAAGGCCCTTTTTTCCTTTTGTATGGTAACTTTGTGTTGTTGCGGCTGCTGGCTGCGTGCTCAGCAGCTTGCATTGTTCTGGCAATGTATGGGGTTCTGAGTCAGTTTTCCTCTCTCTCTTTTCTCTTTTGATTTTAAAAATGCAAAATTACAATATCGCGTAGTAATAGAGCCGTGATTAATTTGGAAATCCGCTTAACTCCGAGAGAATCCAGTTCGTCTAGCGGTGGTGGCTAACGATGATTCTTGCTTAGTTGGGACAGAATTAGCGGGGAAGTGTTTGGCCGGTGGAAAACGGGAAACTCTCAGCCTTGCCGTGCTCATACAGGAGTAGCCACATAACGATTCAGAGAACAAATAAAGAGTAAATGCAAGATGGTTTCTTTATTCAGTATAGTGTGCGTGAAGATAGCACCTTATCTGTATCTATACACAGGCATATTATATGTGCGTTGTACTAAAATTAGTCATTGTGTTTTCTTTTTTCCGTGTTCTTGAGGAACAAGTAAATAAAGAATGTGTGGGATCTTATGCTTTTTCCTGGCAGTCTTATTCAATTAAAACTTTAGGCATTTTTGCATAAGAAAGAAGCAGTGAAATTGGGTTTTAGTTGGTAAAATAGGGTGGCTGAATAAAATAGTGGGGCTGTATGAAGGGATTATGTAGTATGAGTGTATTATGATTTATTGTGAGAATTGTGCAAAATATGCTGTGTATTTATGTAATAATTATTCATAATAAGTATTTTCCAAAGGTGGAAATGGCTTGATAATTGTAGAATTACCAAAAATAGACTTCTTGATGATATCATGAAGAAACAAACTATCTATAAAAATAATATCTATTCTTTTAGAGTCAGCATGACTCAACAAAGAAAAATTTCAGACAGTTTCATTTCAAATATCAATAATCGTTTTCTTTATTTTATTTTCTTTATTTTTAGAAAAGATGCAAATGCCGCATTGCTAAGTAACTTTGAGGTAAGTTTATCTGCATCTTGATTTTAAACCAGCAGTTCAGTGCTACAGTCAGTCACTTGTGCAATTCTTTCGAAGTTGAAAGGTGCCAGTGGCAGTCAGCAAGACCCGTATTTGATTTGTTTTTAAGAAAAAAGCTTTTTAAAGCAAAGCTGGAAATATTTTCACCAGTAGTGGCTATTGTATTATTATTTGCTTGGTCCCAATTTATACAATTTGTTTTTGAAATGAGGAGTGGGTTTTTAGAATGTCAGTAACTTCTGCCTCTTCTTTACGCTGTTTATGTGTCGTTAGTTTGCTGAATCCTCTCGTGTATGGTGGTTCCGGTTTTTTTAGGAATTGACTCTCTACTTTTTTATGCAATTCTATATTTGGGTTAGTGCACTGGATTCACTGTTGCTTTGACTTCAGATGCATCACTTGGCAAATCCTGAAAGTTGACCCCTCTGTAACTGGACAGCAATATCTGAAATACCTTTTTTGCATTTCATCTTATGACAAACTGATATACCACCAAGTGAGTGATACACTGATTGCTGGAGTCTCTTTAATGTTGCAGATAAAACTTCTTGCAAAAAAATTTCAAGCGCTTTCCCAGACGGCTGCTGCTAGAATCAGTGTTTCATATTTAACTTGAACCTTGTGATGTGCAGTATTATCCAAGAGCCTACAACTCATTAATGCATAATTATATTAAAGCCAGTGCTACTGGAAATGCAGTTGTACACCCTTAGTTGCTTGGCAGTGTTTTTTAAAGCTTTTGGGGTGTTTCCAGAGTAGGTTAGGTTATATGGCAAGGATAAGGCCGTTTGAACATCTGAGATGTGTTAGTCAGGGTAAACACGAGTAGGAGCCAAGGATGTGCCGTGATCTGCTGACATGGGGAAACTCCAATGGCATGTATTACAAATGTAATGAGTATTGGCATGCAAATAGTAAAAACCAAATCAAAACAAAAATACTCTGTTTCCTAATGTAGAAAAGTTCTTAATAACTTTCCTATCTCCTGAATAAAGGTATTTTTTTAGCAGGAATAGAAAGAAATGTGTACTTGTTAGCGTAACTTAACCAGGTAATGGAAAGTTTTCCAGAATATGGGCAAATAAGTTGCATGTGTTTATTTTTGGTGTGCTAAAATCAAGTGTATTATTCTGGGATTATATAAAATAAAGATGTTTACATAGTGTTGAGGCATACATAACCGATGCTGTAATTATATTAAACTCTTAGGGCATTCTTTTGGTCATCATAAACGTTTTTTTTTTTTTCTCTCTTTGAATTTCATTAATGATTTTGCAGAATATATCTTTCCTGAAGAAATGCAAACCGAGACAGTCAGGGGTTGTTTGGTGATAATTTTCTAGCACTGATTACCAAGTATGTTGCATTTTGGGGCATGTCTTGGACTCATGGCGTGTCTTGGAAATCACCAGTGAAGCTTCACATAGTATAAAAGAATTTTTGAATTGGCTACTTAAGACCTATTTCTCTACTGAATGTCTCCTACAGCCTGGTTAATAGGAATTATGCTTTGTAATTCAAAATCAAAATTACATGTGCAATGTGGTTCCTTGGGTTCGTTATCAGGTTGGTATTTTCAAAGCCAAACAGGGAATGCTGCTGCTCCGTTTCGGTGAGGATTGGGCGGTTAGCTTTCCTGGCAGCTTTGAAATTTTTTACCTAAATGCTGTGTTACATGGTGCACTTTGGAAAATTACAAAGTGCGCTCCTTTTATGCAGTAGGAATCTGTATGATGTTGAAGAGAATTGGTGTGCTGGATGTTGGTGGAAATTAAATTCCTGCTTTCTTACTTGATTATGTATGAGAATAAAAGAGTAACTGTGGTGTTGTCTCAGCATTTTGCTGCATACCTGGCTATGATGAGTAAAGATTTTGCAGTGTTGAAAGATGTGCCAAAGCGCTGTTGCAAAAATTGAAACATCTTCCTTGTCTGGAGGCTTTCCTCTGTGAATCTCAATCCTGTGTTTTTAATACTCATCACATCATAAATGTGAAGACGTCTTTATTACGTCTTTTCAAAAATATGACAGGTTATATTACACTGTTGTAAGGAAATAGAGAGCTAATGTAATTTGTTTAGCTTAGCATACGATACTGATGACTGCAGCATTTCCTATTATGAATGACTCCACTGGAATTTACAGTAGCATCGCTAATCTCAGGAGCATCTGTAGATCAAGCCTGAATTTATTTGGCTACTAGCCATGTGACAGTTGTAGAGTTTTCTTTTTTCACGCAGATGATGTAAAATAGCATCTCTGTGAGACAAGATATATATCCATTTTAATATTATAGGTACATCTGTCATAACAAATCCAGCAGCGGCATAAACTTGTGTGAGATTATGCTTGAAGCATCACTCATGTGTTTAAATGGGAGCTGTGTGCCAGGACAGCTGGGTATGACCCAACTCAGTTTGGGACATGAGACAGTATAAGCAAGTGGGATAGCTTCATCCTGGCAACTTCTTCCTTTGGGATTTTTGGGTAACGTTCAACAAGTGCTGATAATCTTTTTAAAATATTCACATATTTGTGTGCTACCAATTTATACAACTTCTTATTCGACATTCTCTTACCAAAGCATACTTCATTTTAATTGCTAGTGCAGACGCCAAAGAAGCAACAGTTTCTTCTTTGAACGGTTGATAGGATTTGGCGTTGTTAATTTATGCTTTCCTGTGGTAATATTTTAAAACCTTTTGGAGTGTTTTAACTAAAACACCCTATTTTATTACTTGTTTTTCCCCCTAGGTGTTCCAGTTACTTACTGATCTTAAGCAGCAGCGCAAAGAGAGTGGAAAAAACAAGCAGAGCTCTGGCCAGCAGAACCTGAACACAATCATGTATGAAGTGAGTAGAATTGTGAATTTCCTTTGCAAATTAGCACAAGCTGGAGTAATTCACGTCCTTAGATGTTTATATTAATCACTTTGGATCAAATGTATCCCATTGAAAAGTACAGTAAAATATCTATTTTTTGTCAGTTTTCGTTATGCATGGTCAGTTGATCAGGCTAACTGTGCCATAAGTGCAAAGGCATGGTGCTGATTCCCTGCAGAGACAGCTGAGTCAGGGAAGCTTATTCACTCAGCTGTAATGCGCTATGGTCAGAGCTGTAGCATTTCCAGGGTCAGCCCTGGTTTCATTTTCTGACTCTTGGGCATGAAACTGTGTGGGCTAGCAGGCTCCGTGGATGCATGCTGACCGTGCAGTATCTACTTGCTTCTCCCTGCACAGTGTTTCCTTTCAGTGGGAGCATCGGGCAGTGCAGTATCTAGAGCCTGAGTGACAAAGTGGGGCCATCCTGTGTCTGGCACTGCTAATTCTGACCTGAAACTAGCTGGTCCTCTCAGGGAGGGGGTGGGTGTCTGCACAGTGCTCCCTAACATCCGTATCACCCAGGCTTTTCCATCCTCTGGAGTTTCCAGCCTCCCGTCTTCCATATGACACAGCATCACCTGTACTGTTAGAATAAAACTCTCCTGTTCAAAGATCTGGAATGGGAATGTGCTGGCTAGTTGTTGCAAAGCCCAGGATTGAGACGAGCAGTGTTAACTGAGGACAAAACCTTGCTCTTATTAAAATCTGTCACAAAAACAAAACTTCTGTTTTAACTGTGTGTGTGTTTGAAGATTGCCAGTGTTCTATCCTGCTGAGACTCAGGGCAGAACTTGCTGTCATTCAGTGAATCAATAATACCACCTAGTCATGATTTCAAAGCTGAGGAATAGATCACATACAAAATTTTCGTATTAACAGAATTCAACTAATAGTTGCCGACTAAAAAGAGCAAGATACAGACAACTGGAATCACAAAATTATAGGTATAGATATCAACATCATTTGAAACTAGATCAGTAATAAATGTTATCTGTTGCTAGGAAGAACTTTTAAAATCATATAATGCAAATATTAACATTTTTAATATCTCAAATTAGCAGTTTTGTAACAGAATAGCGATACGGCCTCTTGCGTCCACGTCTGAGAATTGCACGAGTATTGCCACGGTTGGCAGTGAACTCGTTGCAGTGCAGTTTGCCTCGCTTGGCACGAGTAATCCCATTGAGCAGTGAAACTACTCATGTGAATAAGGTTTGGCCTAGGCTTTGTTTTTGTTTCAGTTCTGGCTTTGTTTGAAAAGGTATAGAGCTGTAATTCCTAAGCCTCAGATTCAACAAAATAGAGGCTTACAAAAATCTAGTTTAAATCTTTATGGAGACTAACAGTCTATTCCTCTACTACTTTGAAACAACTGAGCAAGACCCTGTAAGTATTTTTATATCAGAATACACCTTAAAGTTTTAACTGTCTTGTTATATTGCTACATATTAAATGCCTATGGGACGCTTGTTTTTTTACAGGGAGTAAGGCTAGTGTTAAATCTAGATACACTTTCTCTATATTTCTTATATTACTGAAAAAGAACAGGATTTTTGATCTTATGGGGATTTTTTTTTTTATTTATGTTGAGTATTTCTTCACAAGCCCTGTTCACGCATGCATCCACTGATATTGAAATGAATAGATGAAGCTTACTAAGGTGGAGCCATATTTTGATACATGTCTGGCACTTTAATTGGTTTGAAATTACAGAAAAAGCCAACTTGGAACAGAAATTACTCCTATTAAATAATTAAATTTTATTATATAAAAAAATGATAGTTTCATTTCAGTCATTTTCAGATAAAACAGAATTATTATTTACCAATAAGGTCAGTCAGGACTTACAGGAGGGGTAATTATCTAACACCTTATTATGCTTTTAAATATATCTGTCAGTAGTTGCATAAAACTGATGATTAAGAATACCAGTGATTCATATTTCATCAATTCTCTATCTGTTAAGTAGAATGAATTGTCCCGTGTTGTTGAAGTCTGTTTTCAATTACTTAAGCTTTTAAAATTAAAATAGATTTTCATGGGAGTATACTGGAAATATATTTACGTATCCTCTTAGTTGCCATATCCAAAGAGAGTCTTGTAGATTATTTTTTCCCTGTACCTTGTTGGTTTCTGTTCCGAAAAAATACTGGTGGAGCTTTTTTTGGCTTCTGACTTTTAAAATACTCACTTTAAAGATTTTCTAAGAATAATTATGTATATAGAAGGAAACTCAAAGCTTAACACATAGAAGATAATCTATGCATATGGCATCATACTGCGTGGCACATTTATGTCTCTCTGTGTTTCCACTCTAGATTCTGCGTCGTTAGTCAGTTACATAGATATCTTCAAACCTTTATGTGTATAGCTATGCAGTGTCAAGAGCTGAAGATTTTTTCCTTAATTGAAAACAGATATTGACAGTACTCTTACAAATCCTTCAGTTGCTGATACATACAGTGCAGACAATGCAAATATTTCCATAATGTTTCCTTTGATTCTCATTATTTCCAGCCCTTCATTTTGATGTCTAATTTAAGCAGCATTCAAAAAGATTCTTAAGCTACTGCCAATTAAAAGACACCTGTAAATTGGAATTTGTTTGTGTTTTTCTTTTAATAGGGGTTTATAACCACATTTTTTTTAATCAACTCAAATTATGTGATATATTTACTATCTGTCTACTTGGTGTCATGTTTTAAAGAAAGCAAATACAACATCTGTGAAAGTTAGCTGAGGTTGATAAGTGTTACATGTGAAAAACGGAGCAAAGAAATTGTTTCAAGTCAGATAAGCGTTTCTGGGTAAAATACGACAATATTCTTGCAAATTTTTAATGGCAACCCACTTAAATTGCTTCGATGAACTTTAAGAGAGCATTGGCAAATATGCCTATAAAAGGTGAGAACGGCCGTAGGTTGACGAGTCTTTGCTGGTGCTGTGCAGCTTGAGTGAGCTATTTATGGGCTGGCAGTGAAAGTATCCCTAGTGCTGAATTCATGAAAACGTGGCAGAAGATAACGTGGTTTTTGGGATGAATAGTATTCAGCTTTTCTCAAATGTAACAAAAGGATCTGGTACCTTTCTTAGCAAGCTTTGAATCTGTAAATATTTATTAATTTTAAAAGGAAAAATAAATCTGGATGATGCCATTCAACACAGTAGTAAATGTTTCTTGACCATAACCGTAGCATCACCTGAGATTATTTCATTCCAGCCAAGAAAGGAAATACATTACTAACCAAATGTCTTTCGCAAACAAGGAGTGTTTCAGGAGACAGAGCTAAAACTCATTCCTTTCCTGTGCTCTTCAACATGCAACTTGGAGCTGATATAACCCTATTTTGCGCAGCTCGGGTACATGGCTGTCCAGAGCCACAGAGGGAATAGTCAAAACTGGAACTGCCACACAGTTGGGCACTGAGCTAGCAGGATGATGTCTGTATGGAATTAATTCATTGGGGCTTTCTTAACAAGTACTGATGTAGTTTCTGTCACATAAAGTTGTAGTTAGGTATTGCCTGTTTGTTACTTCCTGAGCAGATATCAGTATAGTTTTAATGAAGAAAGAAAAATCTAAATGATCTGTGATAACTAGGACAGCACTTTCCACTATTCAGAAGTTTAAAAAAACAAACAGAAACCCTAAATTGACTCCAGATTTTTCTGAGTAGTCCTGAGGAGACCTTTGAAAAATAAGTTGTTTCGTAGACAACACATAAGGCAAATAATAACTGTGAAATAATGTATGCTTTCCTCTTCCCCCCTACAGACGCTGAAGTATATATCAAAAACACCATGTAGATACCAGAGTCCTGAGACTGTAAGAGATTTCCTCATGACAATGAAAGGCCATAAACTAACCAAGTAAGTAGAGATGTCTTTAAATAAAAATACAAATTCACAGGAACATTTTTAAAAGTACCATCTGCACAATATGATCATCTGTTTTTGATTACGGTATTAACATATTCTAATTATTTTCTGTCACTATATCCTCATCCAAATATCCTTTCCTGCACTCATATTAACACTTACATGTGTGAATATTTGCTTAAATAGGCCTATGTTTGCCAGTGTTTTTCTGAAACAGATTCTTGTCAGAATTTCTTTTTGGCATGATTTGACATAGTCCAAGCTCAAAGTAGAATTTATAAAATGTTTTGTGAGGAAGAACGTTATGAGATGCAAATAGATTTGGAATACAGTAAGAGAACTGTGAAGAAAACAGCCTCAACTTATTGAATCAGCTTTCTCATTTTTATGAACCTTCTTAAGCAAAAATGCATGGAAAAAGATGACTATATTGCAGGGAGGTAATAAATAAATAAAATCGTGATAAAGATGTATACGAAATGTGTTCTTTTGAAGCTAAATTGTACATGAATCTGTGAACCGCAGCTGCTTCACATTATGTCTTTTTAATCATCATTCAGCAAACTAAGGTTTTTATCCTTCCTGTTTGTGGTCTTTGTCCTCTGACATTTATGTGCACTAGGATTTTTAAGAGGTGTACGTTGCTTGATTGAGACAATATTCAGATAACAGATTTTTTTCGCATAGTTTCTAGGAGAGCTCAAGTATACTTCATTCTTCTTATTTTGGGAAGTCCTGCATAGAAAATCTGTTCTCCTTCACAATTACAAGAAGATTTAAAGATCCTTTTTTCTCTTTCGCAGTGGTATGAATGCACATTTACAGTGCTTGAAGTGCATAGTCCTCTCAAACTTCTCTTCAGAGTGTGAATGAAGCCTGTCACAAGTAATCAGACCCAAAAGTAATTGAATCGATTTGCCCCTTCCTCAAATAGCTTTAATCAGTCATCTTTTTGTGAAAGGGTGCATTTAAAGCAGAAAGTACAAAGGCTTGGTTGCTTCTAAATGACTCCCTCTTCACCATGAAGGAATGGTTTATGCCATATAGACACTGGCTGCATTTTTCCTCTCTGGTGGTTCTTTAAGGAGTTCATGCTCTGGGGAGGAGGCTTTTACTACTTTGGTTGCATCACAAAAAGAAATGCAAGTTGAGAGCATCTGGAGAGTGCGGTGCTACAAGGGAAGTGTTTAGCCTGTCCAAAAGTGTAGTAATTTGAGTAGAAAGCAGGTTCAGTCAGCTCTTTCACTGACTTTTTCGTGCCGGCTCTCTACAGATATTTGTGCTAGCATCCAGTGTATTAGCAGCTCTGATCCCAATATTACTCGCATTGCTGACATAAGGGTGATAGTACTTGGAGGCTTTGTCATGAGTACTGTAACTTTGCTTGTAGTGCTTTCTTTTGTAGAACTGAAATTGCCAGGTCAGTATGTCAGTGATTAGTCCTCATATAGCTCATTTTATACAGCAGGAAACTACTAATTTTTATAGCAAGCAAGCTATCATAATTCTTTTCCGACGCTGAAGTGTTTAAGCATGGGGAGTATACTCTACTTGCTATATAGAGCCAATAGTATAGAAATGAAAGAGGTATTTTAAAATCTGTAGCAAGCAGCCCAGATGCTAGTCCTATAAAACCTACGTGTCATCACTGAGGTGAAATAAGCTTACTCTGTATGTGCAGGACAACAATTTAGGAAGGCAACAGAGGAATTCTGTATCACAGCAAAAGCAGAGGAGGAAGTTAAAAAGGCAGAGTAGGATTCAGAAGCAGCTGAATGAGTTAGGAATAAAGGTCCCATTAAAAGTCAATGGGATTTTTGTTC